ATATATTTTCCTGAACACAAGTACCATTAAAATGGTTGACTTGCATTTGCAAGAATAGATCTCTACTGCAGTAAAGCAGACATAACTATAGAAAGCACCATCCCAAGTTGTAACTGAACCCTTGTCACAGAAACTGCTATAATGCCCAGCAGAACGAGGGTAGGTATGTAGACCTGTGAATGCTTGTAACTGGGAGTCATCAATCTGAGCATTAAAGAAGCCAGGAAACTGTCTTACACTGCCTCTCTTCACACCACTGTAAAGGGGAACAGGTAAATAATATTTTTATCTGGAATTTCAGTGCAGAAATAGTGCCCAGCAGTGGGCTAATACTGGGAGTAGCAGCACTTGGGTTTATCTGCTCCTCTTGGCTGCTAGTTCATCCACAAAGCTCCCACAGAAGCAGCAAGTGGTGCAGCTGGGCTATGCCTTTCATACATGCACCTTCCTGGCCCTGTGCTGTGTGGTAGCATACGAGCCACGAAAGGGGGAAAGTCATTTAAATACTTGAGAGCAATTTCTGCAAGCGAGAAAGCCTGCAAGAACGCATTCAGTCTAGCTCAACACGAGAAAAGTATCTCACTAAGTTAAATAATAACTGCAATAAATTGTGCTCTAAAGCTGCAACTCACTTCAGTCACTAACAGGAAAAGAAATCCAGATTTCCACCAATAGAACAGTCTAATAGACGTATTAAACAGGTGCCCACATTTTGTTTTTAATCAAAATCCAGTGGCAGGCCAGTGAGAATTGGGCAGAAACCCCCATACCTGTGGACCTTTCCTCCGTAGAAGGGCTTGGTGTGGAAGGTGACCGTAGCGGAGTAGCCGGTCCTGGCACAGTTGATGCTGACTTTGCCTCCGAGCTCCACCCAGGGGATGGTGAGTATGGAGCGAGCATAGGCACTAGGCAGTGTGAAAACATACTCTTCCTCGTGCTCCAGCAAGTGAAGGACACCTAAGGAGGAAGGAGGTCAAATCATAAAACTTCACTGTAAGACATGGCATCCGGAGATACTCCCCACAGAGACCCCATAGTGCAGGCTACTGAAAAAAATCCCTCTGAAATGCACTCGAAGCAAACCTGGTCTAAAGACTGCTACTTTGTGGCCCTGGTGGCACCAAATGTCTTACTAGAAAAACTGGCTCAACTACTTATTTTGTGTTGCTGACAAGCAATAAATCGTTTAAGGGGGAAACAGGGCAATGCTCTATTACCTTTGAGACCAATCTCTCTATTATGGGGATCAAATTCCTGACAATTCTATTTCAAACTGTAAAGGTTCCTCCACACTCGGCATTATGGGGTTATAGCTAAAAATAAAACAGAAAACCCAACAACAGCAGCAAAAAAAAAGGGTAGTTTTCAAGATCTTTATGTCTACAAAGACAGTTCTGTGCGTGGCCAGAAGACCTTGGCTCCTTCCCCAGGCTCATGACGCAGCTCTGTCCTCACTGTAGCTGCACTTTGGTTCTCAGGATGCTAAAGAACAGCCCCTAAGATCAGGTGAGGACTCCAACTCCACATACAAAATCACATAGTGCCAAATACCTGCAGCAT